ATCGGCTCACGATCTCAATTACAAAATATTAAACTATTTATTTAACTAAAATATTTCTATAACTTGTAGAGATGAATAGATTCCCGAAATATTTATTGAACAGAGTAATATTAGTTCTTCTAAACAATAGAGATTAACTAGTCATTCATTTCATATCTCAATATATATATGTTAATATCTCATTCAATATTCGAATTAGCCACCCAAAACAACATATATTTCTTTTAAACAAATCGATTATATCGTAACAAACACCTTTGACAAACATGAACATGTAAAATAAATAAGATGGATCTTGATTTTCGATAGAATTTGTCAAAAAAAACTTCTGAAAAGCTTTAATAAACATACTTTTATGATATGCGATTTGTAATCTAATTACTTATCAATAACTATATTACTGGATGAGATGAAATTATCAGATTGAATAGAGAAGGGATAGAAATAATGTAACAGCTGAACACTTGGAATATGGTTTGAAATGATAGAATGAAGAGGTATGCATAAAGGAATAGTAGAGCTCAAGATCTAGAAAAAGATAAAAGATGTACGCACTTGCGCTATTATGACCGATTCTTGTTAAGATTGTGGTGTATGCTACTTATATCAACATAAGTAGTATAAAACACCAAATGGAATGACTGGCTGCAGAAAGTTAAAAAGATCGAATTGAAGAGGATGAGAATAGAGAGTAATTGTTATGGCAATGAAAGGACAATGGAGTTTTTGACAAGTGATGAAAAATTTACAAATGAAATATTGAACGTGTAGTTTACACACTTTATGAAATAATTCTATAGCTTTGTATTCAAATACATTGTTGTCACCTGCGTTCCGGTTTACAACAATATCACAGAACACAATAGTCGCGCGTACCTCAACAAGATAGTATGAACTTAACAAAATGTTCCAGACCAATTGTTAATAACTTGATGAACTAATGCTGTTTTGGTTTGAGCTCTCCTGAATTGCTCCTAACCTACTTTTACCGGTCAACATCCTCTGATGAAAAACATGATACATGCCTTATCCACAAATGAGAATATATTATTCAAGTACAGACTAACAAGATAACTCTCTATGAAGAGAGCAGTGGTCGAATAATTAAAGAAAAACAACCAACTTTCAACTACTTGGTCTTAGCTATGCATACATCAAACTAGCACAGTGTGGTGAACCGAACACGGGTGGAGATAATCGAATTGTATTTAGTACAAAATTACAGAGTTACTTGGTAAAATAGAAAAACCATATAGAAAATCGTTAATTTGCAAAATATCAATCCATTGTCTCAGATTTCATTGTTCATGCATTTTCTTACAAATTGCATTGTGTTCTCGGTCTTCCTTTCCTAATCTTCCCCCATCTTCTGATACCAGACATCATGTTTTTAACTCGCGTCATATACTACTTATATCAATATGAATAGCACGCACCACACTATCACTTGAAAACACTGTTACTGCGACCCAACAACATAGGTCTATGCTTAGTAAGTAAACAAGATAAACTTAATATGTTCTCTTTTGTGACTTAAAAAAAATTAATTGAGAAACTATATTATTCTACATGTGCCAATTTTCATAATTGAGGTCATTTCTCAAGTTTCATGAGAAAACCTTCGGAAAAAATTCATCGAATAAAACAATGTTTTCTCATACAATCAATATAGGATTATTGAATTCAATTAAAATTACATCCATATAGTAAAGAACTTATCCAATTGAGTTACATTGTTTATTTATTTATTTATTTATTTGAACACAAAAATATTGGTACAAGAGGACACCAAATACATATGCACCACACAAATCACTCGATTTGCATGAGGGCTGGAATACTGCACGGGTGCCCAGACCGAAGCAGGTGGATATCTTAGGGGGTCACACCCCGAACCTTTGACCTAAATGTCCAACCCACAAGGCAGTGGAGCATCGTAAGGAGATGCAGTTCCATGGTAGCCGGTGACCAACCACTGGTTCATACGCCATTTGTTCCTTCAGGATACTGGAGCCCATGTGCATTATTGATTTGGTTTGGGATCCGGTTAGAGCGCCGGACATTCGCTTTTCGTAAACAACACCCTCACCGCGAGAAGGCAGTGAGTAGGACTCCCCTGGCAGAGGCTGTATACGCGTAGCCGTGTGAGAGTATTTCGAGAGGGAGAACGAACCCATCCCGCTCTCGGCCATACCAGGGCACTTGGGCGCACATTGTTTACAACCTGAAGACAATTAAGCAAAAGTATAAATAAGATAGTAATACCAGAAGGGGGTTTTGTGGAGATGATAATAATTTTAATAGTTGAGATCACGAGTCAATTGAAGCTAGAACACCATGGGAAACTATTAAAATTACTATAATATCTACAAAACCCCTTCTGATATGAATCAACATATGCTCACTAGTGACTGACTTCAAGAGGTATTTCCTGGAGTTCTAGTGAGTTGTTACCAGTGGAGTTCATTCAGGTCTGTTGTGAGATAGGAACTCACTGATGACAATGGCGGATATGTCGCAAAATTTCGTGGATTAGTTGAAGCTAGACATTAACACCATTGTATGTCGGCTCAGTGGTCTAGTTGTTAAGCGCTCGCGCGCGAGATTGATATATCTTGGGTCCGAATCCCGCGGGGCGGGATCGTGGATGCGCACTGCTGAGTCCCGCGATAGGACGAAATGGCCGTCTAGTACAATCAGATTTTCCATGATAGTCTAGCTTCAATTGATTCATGAAAGATAGTAATAACTGAATTTTAGACTTTTACGATTTAGTGCAAATCGATTCTTTAGAGAACCAACACCTAAGCATAGAGGGAAAGAAAAAAAAGAATACTTTTTATACGATCAAAAGAGGTTTTGATTGTGTTATTTCAGTTAATGTGATAGTTTTTGTGAGAGACATAATCCTTATGTATTTGTATGTTTACTAGTGAATGTGAAAAAATGTGATGTTTTTTTTAAAATTTAAGTAAAATATAATCACCCTAATTCTTAGTTTATTGAATATTATCAAGCTAAAATATTGGTAATCACACTTAGAAGTTCAATTACAGGTTAATATAATCTTCATATTATACACCGTCTATCACAAGATCATCAAACTGCATCACGACGCAGGCGCTAACTTGGAATCCTGAAGGGAAAAATGGAAGACCGAGGAACAAAATGCATCGGGAGTTGGAAGCAGACATAACAAGAACGAATGGCAACTGGAAAAGAATGCCCAGCACAGAGTTGGATGAAGAATGTCGGTGGGCAGCCTATGCTCCACCACGACAATAACAGTATAGTGAACGAGAATACAAGTGGAGACAATCAAATATATTTGAACACAAAAGAGAATTTCTTAGTAAAATCTGAGAACCATACAGTAAATACTTCATTTGCAAAACATTAACCAATCGTTAGAGATTTTATTGTTCCTTCATTTCCACACTAATCATTCTCTATTCTCATTCTCTTCGAGCTTCTTAACCTTCAGCTGCCAGGTAATTCACTTTCAGTTTATGAGACGTACTACTCATATCTATCGACATCAGTAGCACACATTAAAACAGAAGTAATATCACCAGATCATAATATGAGAGCAATTCAATAACGCTTAAGATGCGTTCTGTATAGAAACTTATAATTATTTAACTTCTTTTCAACTTATTAAGATTTATTTATCACTCTTATGACAGGATAAAACATGAAGATTATGCTTTGCTTAATTCAGTGTGATATTTGTTCAGTATAACATAGAAACACGAGTTTCGTAGTAATTCTATGTAAAATACATTTTTGTATTTCCCCTATTTCAGTTACATGTAATCGATATGTCAGAAGATTTCGGTCAAAATTGTCGTCATATTCTCTGGAGGGTGAAACAAACTTCACCTAACATCGGTTTTTGCCTTTTTTTTACTCAAGTCATCGTAAAGTGTTTTTTTCTGTTTTCACGGTGATATCAATCTCCCAGGGCGACGAGTTATAGGCAAAACCAATAAACCTTTAAACATTAGGTCATATATGTTCAGATAGACGCTGAATCCACTCTAGATTGCTCAAGTGGGTTAGAAGTAACCCTTCACCTTATAGAAAATGTGTTATTCTTAACCAAACACTGAGACGTCTAACCCTTTCTGTAGAATAGTATTACTGTTTTATTGAATAATTCATTAACTGACATCACCTTAGATGGAAAACTCTTCCTGAATTTCAAGAATCAGCACGGAATTGTATGAATTAGAGAATATATTGAGAATTGAATACAATGCAAAACTCATTCTCGTATTTGACTTATTTTATTCCGTTATTATTTAATGCGAATTAAGTCGGCAAAAGTATACGACGGTCGGCGACATGTATATTTCGATGACAATCATCATATGATCTGAATAGATTCAGATACAGAACTACAAAACCATAAAGCAGGAATGATTGTCCAACTTTCCCTAATGGTTCGATAATTCTCTGAGCTGATTTTAATGTGACAAAAACTATCTCGAAAATATTTGTACAGAACAGAAGGATTGTGGATAGTGGTGAAAATAGGACATACGTTTCATCTTATTTAAGACTTATCATCTTAATAATCCACCTACATCTGTGTATATACGTAAATGGGGACTCGAATCTGGTGTCTTTCAATTTAAATATGAGCTACTGAGTTCGGATGGTAACTAACTTGTTCATTATTAGTACATACTCGGATCATCCTGTCGGTATTTTTGTTGGTTCGAACCCTTAGTAATAACGATATAACTATTATACCCGTTTAGCAAGGTCATATAGATACAATAGCTCAAACATTAACGCGTTAGATGTTCAAAATAAAATATACTAAAATTCCACTCCCAATATTAATGTCGGCAGTGTGATGCAATTACATTTAGCTGCCAAATCCTAAATACGAAAATATATGCTTCTTGAATTCAACTTCTAGCCACAAACATGCAACACAATGTCTATGTCAAAATAATTCCATAACAACGAATTCAAAATCATTTTGGATCATTTAGATCACAAAATAGACCTATTTAATCTCTAAAAACAAAACTTCTTTATGAAATAAAGACAAAATATATATGTAATTCAACCCCACAAACTGTGAAGAAGAAGAAACATAATACCTACAGTTGTTTTCTTTTTTTCATTCCTTCATGTTAATTTCAATAAATATCACAGTCTTTTTGATCTTGTCAGTGAGTCGTCAATTCAACAAAAGAATAAGAAAACAAATAAACAAACAAACAAAAAAGATGAGAAGAAAGGAGTAGTTCTTATAAAATAGTAACCAATAAGAAAGTACAAATTCTTGAAAATAGTTCCAGTTTAAGTATTAAAAAAAGTGAATGATTAAAGGAGGTGGAGAGAGAAAAACAAACAAGGAAAAAAAAATGAATCAATGAATGAACGTACGATCCAACTGGACAGTAATGTGCATATATATACCAAAATGATACATTTATTCATTAATAAAACAGCATAGCTAACCAGGTCACTGTGTGTGCGTGTGTGTTTGTGTGTGTATGAAACGACAATACCATTCACGTTTTGAGTTCTACTTAATTAACTGTTTTATTAATTTTTACCAATTCAACTTTCCATTCCAATGACCAAGTATCAAAATCATTATCCTAAAAATGAGAGAGTCAAATTTCAATGTTGAAAAAAAAGAAGAAGATAAAAGAACAGATTTATATGAGTTGTATGGTTAGTTACAAAATGAAAAATGAATTTTTTTTAAAAAAAAAATTATGTCTAATTCTTCAACACTTAGTTATATAATATACCCTTGTGGGCTGGGGTAATTTTACATTGGTTTTCAGGAGAACCAGACACCATCCAGACTTTCACGTAACAACCCGAACAGTACAGCTCAATTCCACTTCACAGGAGAACCAGACACCGTATAGGCTTTAACGCTACAGTCTGAATAGTATAGCTCAATCCTGTGGCGCAACCGCACAGGTACCAAGCACCCTGGTGGACCAATCTCTCAACACTTACTATACAAATTTAGATGAGGAAATCAATGAAGTAATTTATTGATCAAATATTCTGCTTTGAGCCAACATATGATATGTAAAGAGTAATAATACTCACTAGTCAGTTGCTCAAACCGAAGAAAAATTCAAGTTCGCGAAACAGCGGTTCAAGGTCGAACGCCTTAACCAACGAACTAATGATCCACAATTTACAAATTTACAATAATTAAACGTAACGCTTGAGAATTTTAAATCTAAGATAAAAGATATGATAGATTATTTCGTTTTCGTTTGAAACCAACGTTTCCTGGTTAACCATTGTATAGTATATTGATACATCAAAATCCCATGGCTAATATTCTTCGACTTCATGGTGATAAGACTTTTTGAATTGGGTACATTCAGATTTGAACTAGAAATAGAAATTTATTCACTCAGTCCAGCGACATGTTGTTGTGTTTTGTCTTGAGGTAGCTAATACACCCAAGGATATAAGGTCAAAACGAGATCACGTCCGAAAGATAAGGTAATCAGTGGAGGGAGATAGATTACACTGTGTTTCAAGCACTGGTTGAAATTTAAAACATTCACTATATTATAAATGAAAAGCGATTTTGCAGCAACTTCCGACATACATTTCTGTGAACCTAACACGTAAACTAAACTTAAACTCTATAGTAACTCAAAGGAGAGACATTTAGACAGAACTGTGATCACTTATGAGAAAACGCCACATGCACAATCTAGTTACATCTACTACTATGTAAAATGATGGCAAAGCGAACTCGTGATCTTCTTCGCTTTCGCCCAATCAAATAATGTAATTCATTATCATGAGAACTATTCTCTTTCAATAAAGCGATTTCTCCTATTTCAAATATAGACTAACGTCTATAGCTACAACTGATCTTAGGCAACCAATGGGAACCAGGAAGTAGTAGACAACTATCTCGTCCTAGCAAGAGACTCCTCAGCAATGGGCATTCACAAAAACAGATGGAATCAGAAAGAACCAGCGCCTTCAGATCTCGTGACGAGAACCTAAACTGAGTTTCATCCCCAGTTGTGTCGTGGCTGTTTACTGCTCATACCAAAATGAAACACTTATCCAGTGCTTCCTGATTTAAATGGTTATCTAAGGTCAATTTGTGATGTGATATAAGAAGCATAATCAAAATCAGAAGTGAATAAAAGAAAAGATAAAAACCTACTTATATTTACAAACATTCATCTAAGAAATAAAAATATTGATACACTTAATAAATGTACCTTTTGCCGAAATAGTTGGGCTTGCTGCCAAGCCACAGAAGATGACTTTCCAGTAGATTCATCATCATTCCATAGACGAGCTTTTAAAGTCAGAAAATCAGATCCAATCATAGATTCTGAATTGAATAATGAAGCAGAACCTGGTTGAAGACACAAACATGAGTTAGGCACAGATTGTGGATTTTTATTTTCCTCTTGGCCACTATTACTACTATTTACTGGATATTCACCGGAACAAAGTACAAAACGAGCATGACAATCAGTTGAATGACACACCATATTTGTAAATATAGAAACCTGATGAAAAAGAGGAACAGTTTAAAATACAGAAATATATTGCCATTAAGTTACAAATAGTAGTATTAGTAGTAATACTAGTTATTACACTAAAAACAGAATAGCCCTAAGCCAGTCCTACAACAGCCTTTGTCTAATTCAGTTCTCCAACAACTGAGTAGACAAGGGAAACCCACATAAATTTATTACAACTGCTGAAGAGCACGAGACGATGTGAGTATTTTATAGAAATATCGAGTTGATCCTGACAACCAGCAACTAATAATGCATGTTTCAGGTAACCGGATTAAGACCTAACGATAATAAATTGATGGTTTTAATAATTCGATTTTTGGATTATTCTGGTTAAATGTTTGTGGAATTTGGGCGTTTCTCAGTAGTTCTGTACTCCAATTATACATTGAATAATCATCAAACAGCATTAGCGTGATTCTAAACAATTCAACGAAGATCACTGCAATTTTCAGGGGAATTAATTATCCATTAAATAATAATAATAATAATAAACATTAATTTTAACAAGTCTAACTCATGTGACAAACAGTCTAACAGAATGACAATTTGTTGACAAGAAAATATTTTAAAATTAAACTCAACAGTACTAGATTTGATTAGCTGAAACAGAATCATGTAATTACCTTCGAGACATACTGCGAATATCAGTGAGAGCTAAATGTTGTCATCTGAGAGGTCAAACCACAGTAGGTGGGAGAAGGGTTTGAACCTCAGACTTATTGGGTGAAAGTCGAACACCATAACCACTGATTCAGTGCTCTAAACTCAATAGTACACTATATACATAATTCAAAACGTAGCCTTAAACCAAAGAATACCATCGGTAAACCTAATATAAGTATTATTGAATATACCAAAAATAATAATGCATCCACCATACCGAGCTCACCAAACAGAGCATCCTAAATTTTACACGACACATTAAAACGTGTAGACAATGATAAAGTTTAGATGCTTTTCACCACTGACTGAAAGTTAAGATACTGATAAAAATCAGGGAGCATTGAACAAACAGTTACTCTAGTAGAAATTTCTTCAGCAGTATGTAAAGATAATTTCATTAAAGATCGGACTCACAACCACCCCCGTCTTGTCTCCAGCTGATCGCCAAATTAGCCCCCTAGATAGGTACTAACCTATCTCTATTTATTTACCCATAAACATGGACAAACAGCTTTAATTTTATACCTTTGTAGTAGAGGCTACATTCAAAATAAATGTAGAAAATATTGAAAAAATTTTTTAACCCATAGTTTTCATTGAAAATCGTTCGTTGCTCTGAAAAGAGATAACTAGACCATAAAAGTGATGAACAGATAGGCGCTCATAAACACATACGCACTTACGAAAGCATTTATCAAAAGTTTAAAACCTACACATAGTTATTATTTATTATTGCTTACTTTTCCAACACGATAATTAGTATTTCTTAAATCAAGCATCCAGATAATTATTCCATCTTCTGATGGTTTACTGTCCTCTTCACGAGCTAAATAAACCATGTGCCAATCAAGTTCTACCTGTAAATATACAAAAGAACAAATAAATAAATCTATGCAAACAATTAGTCAATATTTCAACATTCTTCATAAACACTGGAACCGTTTTGGTAGTCTTTTACTCTCTGAACTAGATAGTTTCATTGCTGTTAAGGACAATCCCATCATTATGTAGAAGTGAGTCTTCCAATTATTTCAGAAGCATGTTCTATTTATCTATTTATTTGAACACATAAATATTGGTACAAAGGGGCACTAAATACATATGCATCACACAATAACAATGAAGTTGTGAGGAGATAGAGAATGTAAAGCGCGTATAAGAAAAAAGAGAACAACAAAGAACATAAATTAGTGTATGCGAGTGATACAATAATAATGGGAGAGGCAGTTCAGTTAGCTAAAGCACAATCAGAAAGAATTCTCCCAATTTTATGAAGAAAGTAGAAGAAAGTTACGGCAGGACCGCTACTGGCTTCTATTCTGAGCCATATATGATAACGTCTCAAGCCACTTGTGTTGCACCATCTCTAGGACCAAACTTCAACCGATCCATGATCTTGAGAAACCCTTCATTCATTGCCTGAAGTGGATAACTGTCGCCAAGCGACACGGATTGGACTCCACTAGTCACGGCTTCTCACCAAACTCCAGGAAATCTATCTTGAATCCAGTCAATAGTGAGCACATGATTATGATCATAATGGGAGTCTGTAGAGATTGTAGTAATTTTAATAGTTGGATTGATGAGTCGATCTAAGCTAGACCATCATTGAAAACCTGGAAGCGGGATCATGGATGAGTACTGCTAAGGAGTCCCATATTAGAACGAAACGACCCTCTAGTGCTTCCAGGTTCCCAATGGTGGTCTAGCTTAGATCGACTCATGAATTCAACTACTAAAATTACTGCAATCTCCACAAATCTCCATTCTGATAATTTAGCTTTGTAAACAAGCAACAGTCGATCAACCAATATCTAAATAGAATACTAACATCATTTTAACATCCACTTCTCTACCAAAAAGTTATATTGAATGAGGAAACTAAGCAGATATATAGGAATTAACCAACCTTCCGAAAAATATTTCTCCATTGATAGACCATAGATTGCCATCCATATAAACCGGTTTTCCGAGCATTTTCAATCAATTTGGTTGACTCTTGATTATTCGCTTTTGGTGAATTTGTAGAACATTGAAACTCTAATACAACATCAATATCCGTTTTTGCATTATTATTATTATCATTATTATTACTATTACTATCGTTAGAATAATAAGGACGCTGGTAAATATTTAAAGCTGAATTATAACGTAAATGAAATATTCCACTTTGAAGTTCCGAATTAGACGGGGTAATAATACACTTTGATCTGTTTTTTTAATAAAAAAATGTTGATTGAGACACATACACATTATCATTAAGCGAAATAAAAAGACACATTGAAAGAAAAGAGCATTAACAAGCGTACAATATGTGAATAATGATAGTAACGATAGTAGTAGTGGTAGTAATTTTAATGAAACTGCCATGATCTTTAAAATTTATGAAACAAATACATACATGACCTTGAAAGATATCCCCGTACCTAATTTTCAAAGACATACACAGACATCACATTATTACTGGAACCACAGTAATAATGTTTCTATATTGAGATAAATATTAAGCAAAGTTGAACTTTCGGAAGGGTATAATCTGAAGTTACTGTTTAAATTTTTACCGTCATATCATAGCGATATTGAGACAATAGTGTAAAATAGGGAATATAACCTACCCTTTAAGAAGTGGTTCAACAGACAGAGAAGTCTGACCCAGTTCACCACGAGCTTGACGCCATTCCAACGATCCAGTTTGACGACCCGGAAGTTGATCATTACACTTTGAAGGATGTAGGAAACTCACCAATTCATCAATAACTGAATCCCAACAGTATGGTTTTTGGTCAATATCGGCTGGATTATTGTTAAGCGACCAGTTTCGGATAGCATTAGTATGAATGTCCGCTAATTTATACGCCAATACGGATTCTCTAATCATATTTCGACGGGATCGAACCTGTCCAGGAAATATACAAAAATGTATGATGTATGGAGACTATACAGTCCAGTTTCATACCGAACGTGTATGTTGGCAAAATGTGTATATATAAACTAGATCATGAATTAACATCAACCAAAGATCTAGACTGAACAATGAATTATTACGGTTTTATTTCTTAACATCTCATAAGATTAAACAACGGAAAGATAGACTTCATAGCCAAGGAATTAAAAGCCAATCACCATCCACTACCATATTTATGATTCGTTATGCAGTGTCTAAGTCCAATGCTGATATGCATGCTTCTTAACCGATTGATAATTACCATGTGCTCACTAGTGACTGGCTTCGTGAGGGAATTCTCAGAGTTCCAGTGAGAAGCCGTGACCAGTGGAGCTAATCTGTGTTGGGTAGAAACAAGTATCTACCTCAATACAAAGGAGGATGGTAGCACAATTTCGTGGATTGGTTGGGGTTAGACATTAACACCGTTGGATACCGGCTCAGTCGTTCAGAGGTTAAGCGTTTGCGCGCGAGACTGAAGGCTCTGAATTCGAATCCCGCGAGCGGGATTGTGGAAGCACACTGCTGAGTCCCACAATAGGACGAAATGGCCGTCCAGTGCCTCCAGGTTTTCAATGGTGGTTTAACATCAATCGGTTCATGATCTCAATCAAAAACTAAATAATCTTCACAACTCTATACTGAGAAAAATCTTAACTAATTTGCATACTTTGTTAATAAAATCGATCAACATAAATCTGTTTCGTTCATAATCATCATGTCGCTTGATAAATTGTGCTTGTTGTGCAACAAATAAACGCCGAAGAACTGTATACTATAACCTGATTCATCCGGAAAAAGGTTGTTGCTTTCTAAGTTTTGAAACGTTTTACAAATGTCCTTTCTAGCTCTTTCAGTTATGATTGGTTTAGTAATATAAAATAGTTTAACCTGGGTTCTTTCTAATGCAGTTACAGATTCAACGGCTGAAACCGTTCACCGAGTTACTATTTTCTTAATTCCTTTATTATTTAATAGTTTGCAACAGGAGCTAACTAATTGATTTTTGTTTTGGTTGTTTGAATCTTTCCGTTGATGTTAGGACTGCAATTGATCACATACATCCAGCTGATTAGTCCTAAGCAGGACGAAACGCGTGTCCTGGATTCCACTGCTAGCCACCAATCATCCCTGTTTATAAAGCTTAGAAACTAACTTTGATTAGACAACCATTGGAAAATAGAAAGCATCAACAATTGTTTCATTCTAGTATAAGAATCCTCAGCAGTGTGTATTCACAATCCCAGAGAGGGTCGAGTTTAGAACCTTTAGTTTACGCGATGACCCCTTAATATTTGGACTACAGCTGATATGCTCTCGTTTTTCTCGTCTTCTAGAACATGGAATTTACAAGTACATTTTAAATATCTTCACAGCCGAAAACAATTACTTCTTACATGATAATCGACTTTCCAATTGAATTAATCATGAACCAGTGTAACTCTTTACATCAACACGTAGTTGAAGCTTCATTTATCAATGTATTCAAAAGGGAGATGGATCAACTAGAAGAGTTACATTGGCAGGGCTAGTACAGATCATCTAACCTCTGGTTCATTTCAAATGTAAATTGAAATACAAAATACCTACTGACATATCTATTGAGATGGTTGAAAAGATATAAGTTTAGTTGATAAGGGAAAAAAGATGTAGATGACAATAAAGCAATTTACTTCTGAAAACTTCTGTGTATAACGCCATGTCACATCTTGTATATCCACAGTTACTAATTTGGTAGTGTTATCCAATTTCTGATATAATGATCGAGGTGGCACTGTGTAAGCCATAATATAATTAATTTTTTTATTCCATCCAGATTCATACAGTAAAGGTTTGTCCAATTGTACTTCACATGGATCACAGTGAACCCAAAGTTTTTTGTCATTATGTTTATCCTTTAACCAGCTACATAGAGGCAAATGATTTTTAGAAAAATTAGAAAATGTTATGTAAATGATGTTATAGTAATGTCGTACTTCAACGCAGTCACTATATTACTTCAATTCCAGGAATTCTGTAAGTATAGCATTAAATGGAGTAGTGATTTAGACATGATGAAGCTGACTAGTGATTGAAGGACTTAACTTGTAACTATAATAATGTTACATGCATATTTATTGACTTAAATCATTCAGTATACAGTTGTGGAGATTATTAGGTTTTTGATTGAGAACATCAACCGATTGATGTTAGACCACCATTAAAAACCTAGGAGCACTCGACAGCCGTTTCGTCCTATTGTGGGACTCCTCAGCAGTGCGCATCCGCGATCCCTTTCGACCTGGACATGGTTGTATAGATCAGATACTCACACTACGTCGGGTCCTAGAACATAGACACACATTCAGACGCCCCACCATCGTAGTACTTCTCGGCCTTAAGGCAGCATTCGACTCTGTTGATCGCGAGGTTCTGTGGCAGTGTTTGTCATTGAAAGGAGTACCAAAGAAGTACATTAACCTTATAAAGGCTCTCTACTCGAACACAACTGGTTGAGTGAGAGCTTATGGCGAATTGTCATCAGCATTGATTACCTCAAGTGGTGTTCGTCAGGGCTGTCCACTCTCTCCATTCTTGTTTAACTTTGTCGTTGACGTGCTTTTAGAGATAACACTTTCCTCATCTAAATTTCCAGGGGTTGAACTTCTACCGGGAGGTTCACTTGTTGACCTAGAATATGCCGATAAAATAGTCCTGTTTGGTGAAGACGCTGACAAAATGCAGAGTCTTCTGACCACTCTAAGCAACAATACAAGCATGTTCGAGATGCGATTCTCCCGCTCGAATGCAAAATTTTACTTCAGGATTGGGTTACATCAACACCTGAACTAATGACAGGGAGTGAAGTAGTTGGGTGTGTCGACCGCTTCACTTATGCTGACAGTCTCATCAGCCCTTGTGGTCTGGTGTGTGACGAAATCTCAGCATGGATACAGAAGGCTCGACTAGCTTTTGCCAACTTGCGTCATTTATGGCGTAGGCGAGCTATTGTATCGACCACATGTTCACCATTCGTCAGGTTCTAGAACGCAGGCATACTTATCGACGTCCGACAATGGTGGTCTTTCTTGACTTAAATGCAGCATTTGACTCCGTAGACCGCGAGATTCTGTGGCAGTGTCTGTCATCGAAAGGCGTACCTCAGAAGTACATAAACCTTGTGAAGGCTCTTTACTCGAACACTACCAGTCGAGTCAGAGCTTATGGCGAACTGCCATCTGCTTTTGCAACCTCAAGTGGTGTCCGTCAAGGCTGTCCACTTTCCCCATTTTTGTTTAACTTCATCATAGATCTATTGATGGAAATAACATTCTCGTCTACTGAATTCTCGGGTATTGATCTCCTTCCAGGAGGTCCACTTATCCACCTAGAATACGCAGATGATATAGTCCTGTTTGTTGAAGACGCTGACAAAATGCAGAGTCTTTTGATAGCACTAAGCAACAATGCCAGAATGTTTGGAATGCGCTTCTCTCCCTCTAAATGCAAGCTGTTGCTTCAGGACTGGTCTGCGTCAACACCTGAACTAAGGATAGGGAGTGAAGTGGTCGAACGCGTCGACAACTTCACATATCTTGGAAATCTGATCAGCCCTAATGGGCTGGTATCGGACGAAATCTCAGCACGGATTCGAAAAGCTCGTTTGGCTTTTGTCAACTCACGTCACCTATGACGAAGGCGAGATATCCGTCTATTAATAAAAGGACGAGTATACTGCGCGGCAGTCCGTTCTGTTTTAATTTACGGCAGCGAAACATGGACATTTGACCAGATGCCTTAGAAATATTGCTGGCGTCTGCTGGGATCACCAGCTAAGTAATAGTGAGGTTAGACGCAGGATATTAGGGAATGATGGTAAATCATTTGATGAGGTTGTGAATCTTCATCGACTGAGATGGTTGGGCCACGTGTTACGTATGCCCGAACACCGATTACCACGACGTGCAATGCTAACCGGTGTTCGAGATGGTTGGAAGAAAGTTAGGGGCGGCCAAACCAAAACGCGGCATCAGTGCTTGAAGTCACTAACTTCTAGTCTGAGCCATGTTAGTAGGTGCAGAATACTTGGTTGGGGTCCGCGTGACTATCGTAACCAATGGTTAGAGACTCTTGGTGACATGGCTCAGAATCGATCACAATGGCGTCGGTGTATACACTCTCTGTCTTCCCTTAAACTAAGAGATTAAAATCGCTTCATATCTTTCTTTCTATGAACTAATCCTTTCTTCCTGTACTATATCCTTATTGCAATCTTTCTTTTATATATTACCACCTCCGAATTAACTACTTTTATGAATCCGGTGTCCATCTTGTTGTGTTAATGAGGTATGGCAACTTGGACCGATGCGTATATGTGCCTGGTCCTACGTTGTAGCTGACTGACTGACTAGACGAGATATCCGTCTATCAACCAAAGGACGTGTTTACTGTGCAGCAGTTCGTCCCGTCCTACTTTATGGCAGTGAAACATGGCCGGTAAGAGTAGAGGGCATTCGTAGGTTACTAGTATTTGATCATAGATGTCTTCGAAACATTGCTCGTATATCCTGGGACCACCGCGTATGTAACTCAGCTGTTAGGAAACGGGTACTAGGTAAGGATGGCAAATCAATTGATGAAGTGATGAAACTTCATCAGTTGAGATGGCTGGGACACGAGTTAATTACGCCCAACCGCCGATGCCCCGACGTGCGATGTTCATTGGTGTAGGAGTAGATTGGAAGAAAGCTAGGGGCGGCCAGACCAAAACATGGCACAAATCCATGAAGTCACTGACAAGTGGACTGAGTCATATTGGTAGGTGTAACCTAGTTGGGATCCGCGAGATGATAACAACCGATGGTTAGAGACCTTGAATGACATGGCTCAAAATCGTTTGCAATTGTGCAGGTGCATACACTCTTTGTGTTCTCCTAAATTCGAATCTTCTGAATTCTTCATGTCCGTTTTTTCCTCTTTCCAAATTTGTTTCACTGTATTATACTCCTTGAATAACATCAAACTCTAATCTTTCCGGTTATTGCTTATACTCTTACTACCTCTACCACTACGGGATTTGAATCGATAACTGCATCTCTGTGCTAATGTGGTATGGCAACTCGAACTGATGTACACACGTGCAAAGTTCTACGTTGTTACTGACTGACTGATCCGCAACCCCGGTCGCGGGATTCGGACCCAGGGCCCCCAGTCTCAGATTAAAATTGACGAAAATTTTACTTGTGAATGATTTTTTCGCGGTAATACTTTCTTTAAACTATAAATTGAGTGTACTAACCAACTTTTTTTACTTTTGGAGTAACTTGATAAAAGTTGAGACTTATCTGGATATAAGTTATCCTACATTTCAGCATAAACTTCTTAGTGTTAATTATGAATCTCTGCGGAATCATTGGTATTTCGGAATCTCCACAGACTTTCTTTAAATTATACAGTCAATATATAAAGCAATAATACTTATAGATGAACTTTTCACATAGCCCAAATCATTACTCAGTAATCTGCACATAAGAATATTTTTAATGTGTTAAGTTGAAAAACATGTTTCATTTTACCAAAACGTTTACTACTTTAAACTATTAAATGACCTCATGTATCCTATAGTTTACATTACGAGCTGATCTTACTTAGACAACCATTTAGAGGAACTAAGCACTTTACAAGTGTTTCGTCTTAGTACGATGCTCATCAGCAGTGCGCATCCATAACCCCACTAAGGATTGAACGCAGGACTTCCAAAACCTAGGGGTGAGCGTTTAACATTTACACAAATGAGCCAGAATCCAATGGTTTGCATGTTGAACTTCAATCAGATCGCGACATCTCCCAATTATCTTCCAATATTATCATCGGTGGGTGACTGTTTCACACCTGACGTGCTCAAGTTCCACTAGTCACGGCTTCTTACTAGAACTCCAGAAATAACCACACGAAATTAGTCACTAGTGCGCATATAATTATTATCAATGAATATTATCTTTTAAATAAGGATAAAGTAAAAATATTTCATAAGCTGTAACATGACTGAAATAGTACAGAAATAGATGACATCGGAAATCCCTATAATTTTTCTCAGAAAAACTTAGACGTACGAATTTATATTCTAAACTGTTTTAATCATTTAAGAATTTGCTATAATTACCAATTAAATGATAGTAATGATCGAAACGTACACTTCACACCAAACATGATCTGTCCAATCCATAATAAGTCGACATGCATCAAACCAAGGTTGATTAGTGTGACGTTCAGCAGAAACAAGGAACAATGTAAAACAATTTGCCCATTCACCACATCGTCCTAAACGAGTTTCAAGTAGTTTTCTAGGATTGTTATATCGAGGAAAACGATATAATGGATGTGTTTTATTTGTTTTACACTGATAAATCTCTACTACGTTTGCACCACCATCATTCATTTCATCCAGTTGAGGCTGATCGTTTGAGAATGCGACCATTTTGCCCTGAAATTAAATTAATGAAAATTTTACAAAGTGTAAAACAATTAAAGGTACAAGTGCGGTGTGTGCTACTTTTATGGACAGATATAAATAGTGTTTATCAGGAATTGTACGTAGGAGTTTTACAGACAGAAGAGGGAAATGAAGAAAAGGGAAAACAGAAAGCAACCGAAATCTCAACAAAAATGGAAGAATGATGGAGTTGGTGAGGAGCAACTCAATGCGGCCTGCTTGAATAACTGGGCTACCCGTTCCAGCCATCTAGATATCTTAACAAGTTACATGTCTTTTGTTTGTTTCAACACATTGTCTATTAATCGTGTTTATGAAAAGTTTAAGACCTTTCGCTGTACAAATTACAAGAAAAGTACAACCATCAGAGATATCGTGGTGGCTGGTAATTTGCATTGAAAAGAATGAACATTATTCAGATATCGATTCCTGGACTGCTAACATCTAACTGGTAATCAATCAATATATATCGTCAAGATCGATCAAGAAATAAGAAAAGTAAACTTGTTGAAATACATTGCACTGAGAATTGTAGATTGTGCTAAAAATATAATATTGGAAAAAGCCATTAATAATAATAATAATAATAATAATAATAATAATAATAATAATGGCCAAATAGTGTATGTTATGTATTGTTTTCAAATTTTACAAATGCAGTGTGTGATTTTACATAATAAAGTGGTTTACGAAGTCTTCGTTCATTACACAAAGAATTCCGCCAAACCAATAAATTAATGAAAGTTATTGGTTAAAAGAAATTTTTCAGAAAGAATCAAAACGGAAAGAACGGATTTCCCATCCAGTACACACGTGTCATTAAGAGAATGGAATGATACAAACCCCTTACTGACAAAAGAAAAGAAATATATATATTAAACACATTCGACAGATCAGTGGCTATTTCAACTCAATAGAATAATGAATTATCGGTTGATGTTTAAATTACGAAGGTAATTGAATTTGATCCTTAGGTAGGCTGGAAGAAAGCTAGGGGCGGCCAAACCGAAACATAGCATCAGTCCACGATGTCAGTGACAACTGGACTTGGTCATGTACAGATACAGACTACCTGGTTGGGATCTGCGTGATTATCATAACCGATGGTTAGAGACTGAATGAAATGGTTCAGGATCGTTTGCAACGGCACAGATGCATCCTTCCTCATGAGATCCTAAATTCCTCATAACTTACTTATGTTTTTATTTCATCAATTTACATTTTCTTCACGAGTCCTATCTTTGATGCCTAAGCTTTCCTATTACCACTGATACTGTTACTACTTCTACTATTCTGGGATTCGACCTGACAACTCCATTTCACGTAGCCCAAATCATTGCTCAATAATCTGTACATAAGAATAATTTAAATGTGTTAAATTGAAAAGCACGTTTCATTTTACTAAAACGTTTACTACTCTAAACTATTTGGTGTGGTAACTTGAACCGATGTACATACGTATAGGTTCTATGTTGTAACTGACTGACTCTCAGTGTGAACATTATCATTGGTTGGGATGCAGATCCATGCACTTAATGAGCAACACATATTGTGGTGCATGCTACTGATACTGATAGTTATAAGTGGTACGTATCATCAGTCGAAAATGAAATGTCTAGAGGCAGAAGGTTAAGAAGATCGAAGAGGAGAGAACGAGAACAGAGAATGATTGGTGTGGAAAAGAAACAACAAAGTCTGAGACAATTGAACCTTTCGCAAATGAAGTATTTACTCCATGGTACCTAGATTTTACTAAGAGATTCTGTAATGTTGTGCTAAAATACATTTGGTTGCACTCACTGGTATTCTCGTTCACTACAATATGACTAAATGTAAGTGTTGGACTCCACCACTACCCACAATTCGCATACATCCTAAGACTTGTTACAAAATGATTATGTTACAACCCGTACAGGATGCATATATCCTAATAAGGACTGATTCTTAATTCAGTTCTGAATACGAACAGAGAAATAACGTAAACACTAACTAATAATTTTTTTTCTCGAAAAAAACATTTCAAACATTTATATTCATCATTACGGTAATATCTATAGTACGGACACAAAATACATCTACTGCTTACTATACAAAACTTTAATAGGGTTAAAAAAACAAGCCTCGGTTTACAAACACTTACTATATTGTTGACAATTAGCAAATGTTTTATTGGACTGGTATGACGAGCACTAATTAACCCTGACTGTTGAGTCTGAATTCGTCAGACCAATAAGTTGTTAATAAAACTCACTGATATTAAAAATGTGTAGCATTGGACGCTAACACAATGATCCTAATGGTTAAGCGTTTTTTGTGAGGCTTCGGTTCTACACTTGTTCATGGTTGTGGATGTACACTATTGAAGAGTCCAATAAGAGGATGAAACAGCAAACAAAACACAATTTTATATATATCCTGAATGAAATATAACTACTAGAGAAGAAACCTTCAGCTTAGAATATAAACAATTCAGAGAAATTTGGGACAAGGTGAAATAATGGTTATCCTATGGCGAATAGATTCGTGTAAAACAGCTTAGAATGTAAGTTAGTGCATCAATTTTAAGGCTAACTCCATGCTTATAAAGAATGAAAAAGATATACCCTCAAAGATGAACGAAAGTTTACTAGGAGGAAGTCGTTGATAAAATTACAGGACGAAGTGAGTAATTCTACATTAAAATCGGTCAAGATTTTATGATTCAATGAAGATTTTAAATTGTGAAAATGAAAGAGGATCCTGATGGATTGATAACATGCAACGATACAATTTGGCCAAGATACGGCTGCTTAAGAGATCGAACTATTGACCTCAGTTCTTAAATGACTTGAGATCAAAAATGAAACTAATGGCCATAAGAATACGTTATTTTATTCGATATAACAACATGTATACATGTTGGTCACTGGGTAGTGATCAATGTCATGTATATTAAGTCCCTTTTAGTCTTGATCGAATTCTATTGGTAAAGTTGCAAAGTGGCCACTAGTCTAGGTGAGTCGACATTGCGTGCACTATTTTGAGATGTTATATGGTGATTGGAGGTATTCAACAAGAAATCTTGGACCTAGGCTTAGTGCTGATCGCAAATCGATCGATAAAATTCCATCTGCATTAAAAAAACTTGACATACATAACACTGACCATTACCCGATGATTAACCAATACATCACAGTCTCATAGGTCAGTCGCGACCCGGATAGCACATTGGCAACGTCTCTGGGTGGGGATCTGGATGACATGAGATCAAGTCTACCGGGAAGCATTAGTTCCCTCAAGATTACAAGCACAGATTGCCGACGAGTACCATATAGCACGAAACCTATGTCCACGGTTTCCTGCCGACAAATTCTAGCCACTATCATATAGTAAATTACTCGCCCTCGAAAGAATTAAAATCTGATCATTAGATTTAATACCTCTTCACTATATCAACTGTCATACCTAGTTAATTCGGCTGTATATTCATCATTTTCATTTCCAACTTTCAGGTAAACTTTGTCATCGAGAATTTAATTCTTATCAGGATGATCAACCGCTTCTTTAAAATTTTACAACTATGAAATTCAAATGAAAGCTAGGTCAGTGTTAATGGAAAAACAAGAAAATTAAGGAAAACTACATCTATAAGATGCCAAAACAGATTATTACTATGTTTCACTAAACTGGTACTTAGCAGGAAAAACTAGATCAGGAAGTCAGTGAATAATCAGTAACTAACTAGCATAAATAATCAATCCTTTTGCAGAGAACTAATTAAGTACAGGATACTCTAGCTTCTAAGTGTAACATTTAACGATGATTTTCAGTCTTGAAACAAACACTGACTTTCCTTGGAATCACTATAAGGTAAGACCGACTAGTCAGATTTATTGTTTACCATTGACTGTTTTTATTCATTTAAATCGAAAACAGTTGACCATTTATGAATATAAGATGAAATGTTGTTAACAAAATTACAAACAGAAAACTTACACCACATGTTTTACACACAAAGTCGTCAGCCCATTTAAAGAATTCACTCTTAAACCAAATTAATAACTCTCGAAGAAAATCTCTGGGCTCCACATCATCTATAGAACAACTATTATTTTGAGAGGCGGATAAAAGAAGCTGTTCAGTGGGAATCAATTCACGTGCCCGAGTCTAGTGAATAAATAGAAAAAAAATAGAAGAAATACATTGGTCTTTGTGGTTGTATATTGTGAACTCCATGACATTCCCGCTAGAAGAAAACGTTAGTTAAGCAAATACAAAGGTGCTTCTACTGACTGATCGTTGATACTGATTATTCCAGTTGAGGGTTGTAACATTAGTTAGACATTTAAATGAAATTACCTATTCTGTAATCCAATTGCTTCTTATCCCAAACATTTGATATAAGACTGAGCTGAGATTGAAAGTAGAGAAACTATGTAAAGATGGTGAATCTGTTGATAAAGCTTTGAGTCTTCATCTCACTATCTACTACCATCAGACCAGATGAGCGATACTCATCGTTATGGGATTAAGTTATATAATTGGGACAGGCTAAACCAGGACGCGGCATCAGTTCATAAAATCATAAACTGTTTGAGCCACGTGGTAGATGCAGACTACCTGGTTGGAGTTCGCGTGATAACCGCTATCAGTGGTTGGAGATGCTGCGCTTCATGGCTCAAAGTTGGTTGCAACGACGCATATATGGTGACTCATTTGTATTCTTTAGATCTTAAGTTCTGATACAATTTGTTATTCCAATCGGTTCATTCTTTTTGAATCATATTCTCTATGCTCAACTTATAGAGCCAGTGAGTCTACAATAGGACACACATTGAGGAAAGCACCCAACTGCGTCACAAGAAAAGCCCTCAGATGGAACCCTCAAGGCCAAAAGAAAAGAGGAAGACCAAAGAACACATTACGCCAGGAAATGGAGATAGACATGAGAAAAATGAACAAGAATTGGATGGAATTAGAAAAGAAGGCCCAGGACAGAGTGGGTTGGAGAATGCTGGTCGGCGGCCTATGCTCCATTAGGAGTAACAGGCGTAAGTAAGTAAAGTAAGTAAATGTTGGTGTAACAGTGACATGGCTTGATTTACAAAAATGACAAGTTTTAAGTTGTTTATGACTAACTGATCAGCTGATGATTCTTGTATCAATTCCTTGATATGGTACCATCAAAGAGTAAACTTCTTAAAAATAGGTCTAACCATTTTAAAATTACAGGTTAATGCCAGTGACCTGAACAAACAAGCAAAAGAAAGAAATGACAGATTAAATGAATTCAAAATTTGAACCTATTAAATTAACCAAAAATGGTTATGTACAAATAGTTTATGTACCGCTTACCTGTAACTCTAAATCCATGTAGTTTACAACAAAAGAACGATACTGAAGCAATCGATTAACAAAACTTATTTCAGAGCTTCTCAGATCCAGATTGTCTTGATTTACTGTCACAGAACTAACCGGCTAAAATTAAATTGAAAATTGCGAATCTGTGGTAAGTGGATAGATGATGCGATTATAACGAAACATAATGATGATTTGTTGAAAATAATTATTTAAGATGTTACAACTACTTTGTCAGCCAAAACCAATATTTTAACAGAAATAAACCAGTCAAGTAAACTGATAAAACTCACTGCTAGGTAACATTAATAATACATCATTCCTATTTGTCATATAACTTAGTGACCTAATATATGTCCATATACTTGGCTTTCTTACACCCATCCTGTTTGTATGAGCAGTAATGATACTAGGTAGGTAGGGTAAGATTCGAAACTGTAACCGACTGCTTGACAACTGAGCGCTTTAAACACTAAACGACCGAACTACACGACAAAAGCGAATTCTTATTTTTATCAAGTGAGCACCACGTGCTTAGATCTTTCTAAGTATTTACAAAGCATTCCAGTAATGAATGCTATAGGTAGTACCCTGTATTTTAAACCATTCACTAATAGACATTTATTTATTTATTTATTTAAACACATAAACATTGGTACAACGAGGCACCATGTAGATATGCGCCACATAAATCATTCGATTTGTGTGAGGGCTGTGATACTGACCGGGTGCCTAAACCGAAGCAGATGGTTTTCTTAGGGGGCCACACCCCGAGCCTTTGACCTAAAGGTCTAACCCACAAGGCAGTGGAGCATCGTAAGGAGATGCAGTCCCATGGTAGCCGGTGACCAACCATTGGTTCATACGCCATTTGTTCCCTCAGGGTACTAGAGCCCATGTGCACCATTGGTTTGGAATCCGATTAAAGCGCCGGACATTCGCTCTCAATTTCGTAAACAACACCCCCGCCACGAGAAGGCAGTGAGTAGGACTTCCCTGGCAGAGGCTATATACGCGTGGCCGTGTGAGAGCATTTCGAGAGGGAGGGCGGGCCCACCCCGCTCTCGGCCATACCAGGGCATTTGGGGGCGCATTTATGGTGCATTCTACCAATTCATTTTATTTCAGGAAAACGCTAACACAAAACAAACATTTAGATAAATTTCAAATAAAGCTGACTAGAAATCATTAAAATCGTGATCTTCAAAGTCCGTGTGATTATAACTAATGAAGGACGTTCTTAGTCTATTACCTGCCTCAACTACTGACTGTTTAATTAATTAAACAAAACAACAGAGGTTTTTGTTTACAAAACCTGATGTTTTATTACTTTTCACCAAAATTTTATCAAATACTGGTACCGATAGATATCAATTAATACACGAAATCACCTTAAACTATGTGGTACAACCAGTAATAAAGGGAATATACTCTTTTTCTCTAGATACTGTCACATGTTCAAATGGACCTTTGGCCTCGTGCGAGAACGCTCAACCTCTAGACCAGTGAGTCGGCACCCAACGGTGTTAATATCTAACTTTAATCGATCGAATCATGAATACAACTAACAAAGAATTACTACAATTTCCACAAACCCCCACTCTGATAATAACCATCACGTGCTCATTAGTGACTGGCTTCAAGATGGATTTTCTGGAGTTCTAGTGAGAAACCGTGACCAATGGAGTTCAGTCTGTGTCGGGTAGAGATAGGTATCTACCTCAGATAGTGGATGAACGGTAGCGCAAGATCATGGATCGATAGAAGTTAGACATTAACACCGCTGGATGCCGGCTTAGTGGTCTAGAGGTTGAGCGTTCGCGCACGAGGCCGAAGATCCTTGGTCCGAGTCCCACATGTGGGGTTGTGGATGCTCGCTGCTGAGGAGTCCCTTACTAGGACGAAACGGCCGTCCATTGCTCCCAGGTATTCCACTTCGATTAAAAGAATGAACTTCAAATGTATCCTGATCCATGGGGAGCAGCCTCCTAAGAAAACTTTCTGCTTCGGTTTGGGCACCTGGGCAGTATCGCAGCCCTCATCCAAACCAAATAGTTTGTGTGACACATATATTTGGTCCCTTCTTGTATCAATGTTTATGTGTTTAAATAAATAAATAAATAAAAACTTCGTATGACTTCACTATCCTAATAACCGTCTTTATTATTATGCATACTTGAAAATACAAAAGAGAAAGTTACTAGTGTCTACACATCAAGTAAATAGCTGATCACTTGAAGCCCCTAGTAAACGAACAACTACGTTAGAAAATGCGTGAATCAAAACCAATACAATCCTGAGGAAATGAACTGGATATGAGCTAGTTGCAGTACACGTACAGCTATACCGCAGTATTAAACAATAGCCACACATTCAGTATGGTGAGAAAATGCAGTGTTAAAACTCAAAATAACCGTAATATGACACATAACTGGTGAAAAAATAGTTGTATAAACCAACTAAACTAATATATGCTGTTTTATCTTAATAAATAATCAAAACATACCAAACAAGATCTTAACTGAATAAATAACTTCTTCAAATGACCGACATCGAAAGTAGCTGGTAAGACAAAAGCATCATCAGCCTCCTTAAAAGAGAAAAAATGTGGTAAAGATAAACAAACCGCATCAACATTATATATATAGGCTTAAGATCCCTCAAGTGTAAATGACTTAGTTCGGTTACTATTGACACTAAAGAATACTTAAATGTCTACGAGATACTAAACGTGACAATATAAATTGTCACGTTGGAATTAGATCTAATCAACATTGCATGATAAAAAGGTAGAAACAACTGTACATGATACTAAAGACAGTTTACTTGTAAGGTGTAAAATTCTTCATAGCAGTTAAAGGATACACAAAAATCCGTAACTCATACAATCACATCCGCATTCACTATACATGATTTACTAGTTAGATACGAAAAACCTAAGTGTAACTAAGACAAGACACGGCATCGTCTCAATAAATATTAAGTATTGCTGTATACTATACAGAAAGGTGCAGACTTTCACTTTAAAGGTAGTAAAATGAATTGCATAAACTGTTAATTAGAGACTATAAGTAACACAATTGGAAATTGGTCAGAATGAACAACATGAATTCCTTTTTTATCTTTACATCCTGAACGCCTTATTTCCCTCACAATACTCATAACCTTCCTCTCACTCCAAAGACATCTAACTTTTCTTAGTTTTATTGTCTTGAGATTCTAGGTTAGTATTTAAAACTCACAGTATAAAAGTTGAACCTTACAACTAGACAAAATTCTAGCTTATGATAACAAAATTAGGTTGCAGGAACTAGAGTTATAATAAGCGATTATCTGGATAAAAAATAGTATGGCTTATTTCATAGTCGCTAACACAATACAGAACATTGGACCACATAAAATGTAGACGTCACAAGATTAAACATAGCTTTTTGGCTCACGCTATCTTATCAAGAAAAATTACTTAGACGGACGTATTCCCATATAAGATAACCACAACGAAATGCCACGAACCAGAGTTTCACCACCCGAATAAAATGAGCTTGTATGATTTTTTAGTCCCCCGTTGATCTGACTTTTACTTGATTGTATGGTGATGTTAATGAAATATACAGGCCACCTACCCTTTTACATAATTGTCGACTTAATTTGTATTAAATAGTGGAATAACTTAAATACGAGAGGAAATTTTGAATTTTTTATATACTCGATACCCCAGACAAACAATAAGAGAAACTAGGCGAAGAAGCAGACCGGAGAAGCCAAATATACCAATTCTCCTTGATAAAGCGTGACACCATTCAGAGCCAGACAAAAATAAGCTGAAGACATGTGATGAATAAGGTGAAAGATGAACACGCATACACTCAGATAGTCAGTTATGAGCGAATAACTGAAAGGGTTGAAATGTGGTCCAAGAAGAATAAATTGGTTTATCCGGAAGGTAGAATAACCCATTTGGACTTGATATAGTACTAGACACTACAGTTTAATAGTAAACAATTTCAACAAGTTTGGTGTATAATACTCAGGTTCTCTAATTTATTTATTTATTTAGACACATAAACATTGGTACAAGGAGGCCCCAAATAGATATCAGGGTATCTGAGGTTCTCTTAGTTCTGATTACTTTATAAATTTTTTACACTCATTAGTTTGTCGGCTGCCCAGTACATCTATACTTTTCCAAGTTTTGGATAAATGGTAATCAACGGCCGTGATTAAAGGAGAGTTTCGTTCAACGTGACCACCATACAACGACCATTTATAATGACTGAAAGTCATGGTTTATTTAAATTTTACCAGTTTGTTGTGAGCATAACATTTATAAAACATACCAATTCTTATCACAGTTTTTCCTCATGTTAATTGGAATAATAAGAACTTGGACTGAAAACTGGTTGATTTTAAGTAACAAAGTTTATTTATGGGCAATGAATAATTGGTTTACGATTTACTCTTAGGAGCTGATTAATAGGGGTATGAATTAATAATCACTAAAATGACTGATTGTAGTACATTTCGTAACATAAACACTATAAATCTATTTACTGGAAGCCACAATTCATTGGTACTCTATTCAATGTACATTATCCAGTGCAAAATCACGACTCTCCTAGTAAAATCCTGGTATTAACAGTACACGTTAGACACACTGTTGACAGTTTGTAAGCACTCAGCATTCAAAAATATTTTGAAGGAGACTGGAGTTTGGAAAGAACAAATATCAAATAGGCAGCTATTTACTACTAAGTCCAATAAAATACTTTCCGAACAAACGAAACAAACGAATTAAAAACACCTGAAAGCCTGCAGAAAATAGGAAGTCCATACATCCGGGAACAACTAGAAGTGTTTCTATAAAATCAGAGCTAGCCAAACCAATGCGGCGAAACTTATCTTCTTGAGGAGAACCTAGAATTCTGTCGCAAATCTTGTGTAAACACCCAAATGCACGCAATCTTTCCAAGTGATTCTTATTGAGTTTGAGCTGTATTATTGAGTTATCCAGAGAGAACTCATTCAAAACTTGTCGTAACCGACCAACATTGCTACCTTAACTCAGGTTATCAAATAATTTGACCTAACCAACAATTGTTTCAATACATTTTCCGTCATGATACAGTTTGAAGGTTGGCAGAGCTGAAATCCCTTCTTGTCGGGAAAGTTCTGAGCAACGGTCCGTATTCACTTTCACAAAGACAAAATTTCCCTGTCGAAACTCAGATGAGAGAGCCTCAAATTGCGGGGCGATACGACAACAAGGTCCACACCAGTCAGCATAAAAGTCAACTACCAAGATTTTTTCTGTTTCAGAGCATTTTTTCAAGGTCTTCCCGAACTCAAAAACACTCTCGACGACACGCATTGAGCGACCTTGAATTCAAATTCGAGGTAAGGTAACTAAGCCTCTTCAGCATGTCTCGGGTGCTAGTGCTAAGGACAGAATTGCATATGACCTGCCTCAATCCTCGCTATTCGTGGTATCATAGAGATCCGGCCGTTTTTTTTCAACTTGACGAAGGGAATACTGACGCAGAGACCATTTAAAGCAAGACTCAATTCGAGGATTAAAACTTTGGTCGTAACGTTTGATTTCGGCTGGTAACAGTTCTGAGAATGTCCTCTCAGATGGTCACTCCTTGATGGAAGGGCTATACGGGATATATGTTCAGGATGCGTTATGCATATACCAGATCTATTATGACATATGTATTCAGCGATTTTCGTAACGACCAAATAGAGACCACATTTTTTTCTTTATTCGTGACAATTTATATGTGACCACTTCTATATCCAGTATCTAATGTCTGTCTGTATCAATAAAAGAACAGACTTAATTGATTGGTTTCTTAATACCCACTCTGCTGGTGTTATTCAAATAAACTCAATCTCAGTCATCTATTCTTTTACTTTACTGGCCACGGCCTGTGAGTGAAGATTGCAACAATATTATAGCAACCTTTCGGGCCATTTAATACTACGTGGGAATATTGACCCAGGTTATTATTCAATAACACTGATGGTTTAGCATTTCGCTTCACACTGTTGGTGCCAACAGTGCAGAGTAGCCTTTTTTTGATCAAGTGAACTCTGTTTGTGGCTGTTTTCCCATTAGGAGCTTACAAGTGACATTCATTTCATAAAAATTGTTATCATCTTTGTCACTTAATATACCTTTTTGTGGATGATGTTATTTGTTGCTGTTTTGCCTTATTCACAGACAGTTGTTTCTATTGCTATATTATAATGTTTTGAATTATTTGAATTATAGCACGAACTAAGAGTCCCAGAAATAACGCAATTGAATTAAGAAGTGAGACACAAGCACAAACGAATGTATTGTATTTGGAATTCGAAATCGTGCATTTGACAAGTACAAAGGTATCATCAGTCCATTCAAACACCACATCCGCCACAGCTTAAATAGGAGTAAAAGTGTTTGTTATCGGTTTTATGTCTTCTTCTTAAGTTCATCTTGAGTCTGTTCGACATTGTATTTGATAGAAACTTTGTAGTATCTAGAATGTGCTCATTAGTATTGGAATTAACAAACGAAATCGGAACAGACTCACCTGGAATTGTATACAATCAGCATGTCGGTTTTGTACTTAAATCATTAATATCTAGAATTTGAACACTATCCTCCCCCACGAAATAATGTTGGATCTTTATATCCCCAAGTAATAAATAATGTGGCTTCGTTTAAAACATATTTCTCACATTGATTGGAGTATACATTGGAAGTGAATTTGTGATAAGGATTAATAGCAATTGATGTGAAATGATCTGAATTGTAATCAGAATGAAGCTCATTTAATACTCGTGCTCCGCATTGAACAAGCTTCCCACAAGAAACAAATGAATTATGGGGACAAATAATATTTGGTATGATATCAAGACTTGACTCTTCTGGAATAGTTTCCTCGAATTCATTAAGAACGTCATTGCAGATTAAAGGATCATTGGAAAAATCAGCATCTATCAAAAATACATCAGGTTTTCGACCATAATTATGTTCACTCAACATATTTTCTTCAGATTTGTAAGAAATTTCATCAGAAATGTATGAACCATTAGGAAAAGCCATATTTGGTACAATAACATGAGAAATCTGATAAATCAATTGGTTAGAAACTGTTGTTTCGCAAGAATTCTGAATTTCATTTAACTCTGAACTACTTTGTGACTCTACATTGTTTACTGCAATCATTGATAGAGATAAATCATCATTATAAATACTCGACTCAGTAGAATCAGAATCACAAGTCTTAATACTAGTCGCAATAAGATGAACATTAGTATTACAGACTGACTGAATATGTCCAATATCACCACATTTAAAGCACTTAGAATTACGAAATTTACATGAATTCAAAGAGTGGAACTTGCCACAGGAAAAAAACTGACTAAAATTGTGCCCATCTTCGTGAAATGCATTGCAACTCCTCAATGAATTGTCTGCATAATCTCGAGTATGAAGTGGATTGGGATGATGTAATGTAGTAGAATTTTTTATATCCTTATGAATCATTTAACGAAATCTTCCTCCTTTACGACATTCGAAATTTATCTTATCTTCTTGAAGATAACTTAGAATTCTGTCGCAAATCTTGTGTAAACACCCAAATGCACGCAATCTTTCCAAGTGATTCTTATTGAGTTTGAGCTGTATTATTGAGTTATCCAGAGAGAACTCATTCAAAACTTGTCGTAACCGACCAACATTGCTACCTTAACTCAGGTTATCAAATAATTTGACCTAACCAACAATTGTTTCAATACATTTTCCGTCATGATACAGTTTGAAGGTTGGCAGAGCTGAAATCCCTTCTTGTCGGGAAAGTTCTGAGCAACGGTCCGTATTCACTTTCACAAAGACAAAATTTCCCTGTCGAAACTCAGATGAGAGAGCCTCAAATTGCGGGGCGATACGACAACAAGGTCCACACCAGTCAGCATAAAAGTCAACTACCAAGATTTTTTCTGTTTCAGAGCATTTTTTCAAGGTCTTCCCGAACTCAAAAACACTCTCGACGACACGCATTGAGCGACCTTGAATTCAAATTCGAGGTAAGGTAACTAAGCCTCTTCAGCATGTCTCGGGTGCTAGTGCTAAGGACAGAATTGCATATGACCTGCCTCAATCCTCGCTATTCGTGGTATCATAGAGATCCGGCCGTTTTTTTCAACTTGACGAAGGGAATACTGACGCAGAGACCATTTAAAGCAAGACTCAATTCGAGGATTAAAACTTTGGTCGTAACGTTTGATTTCGGCTGGTAACAGTTCTGAGAATGTCCTCTCAGATGGTCACTCCTTGATGGAAGGGCTATACGGGATATATGTTCAGGATGCGTTATGCATATACCAGATCTATTATGACATATGTATTCAGCGATTTTCGTAACGACCAAATAGAGACCACATTTTTTTCTTTATTCGTGACAATTTATATGTGACCACTTCTATATCCAGTATCTAATGTCTGTCTGTATCAATAAAAGAACAGACTTAATTGATTGGTTTCTTAATACCCACTCTGCTGGTGTTATTCAAATAAACTCAATCTCAGTCATCTATTCTTTTACTTTACTGGCCACGGCCTGTGAGTGAAGATTGCAACAATATTATAGCAACCTTTCGGGCCATTTAATACTACGTGGGAATATTGACCCAGGTTATTATTCAATAACACTGATGGTTTAGCATTTCGCTTCACACTGTTGGTGCCAACAGTGCAGAGTAGCCTTTTTTTGATCAAGTGAACTCTGTTTGTGGCTGTTTTCCCATTAGGAGCTTACAAGTGACATTCATTTCATAAAAATTGTTATCATCTTTGTCACTTAATATACCTTTTTGTGGATGATGTTATTTGTTGCTGTTTTGCCTTATTCACAGACAGTTGTTTCTATTGCTATATTATAATGTTTTGAATTATTTGAATTATAGCACGAACTAAGAGTCCCAGAAATAACGCAATTGAATTAAGAAGTGAGACACAAGCACAAACGAATGTATTGTATTTGGAATTCGAAATCGTGCATTTGACAAGTACAAAGGTATCATCAGTCCATTCAAACACCACATCCGCCACAGCTTAAATAGGAGTAAAAGTGTTTGTTATCGGTTTTACGTCTTCTTCTTAAGTTCATCCTGAGTCTGTCCGACATTGTATTTGATAGAAACTTTGTAGTATCTAGAATGTGCTCATTAGTATTGGAATTAACAAACGAAATCGGAACAGACTCACCTGGAATTGTATACAATCAGCATGTCGGTTTTGTACTTAAATCATTAATATCTAGAATTTGAACACTATCCTCCCCCACGAAATAATGTTGGATCTTTATATCCCCAAGTAATAAATAATGTGGCTTCGTTTAAAACATATTTCTCACATTGATTGGAGTATACATTGGAAGTGAATTTGTGATAAGGATTAATAGCAATTGATGTGAAATGATCTGAATTGTAATCAGAATGAAGCTCATTTAATACTCGTGCTCCGCACTGAACAAGCTTCCCACAAGAAACAAATGAATTATGGGGACAAATAATATTTGGTATGATATCAAGACTTGACTCTTCTGGAATAGTTTCCTCGAATTCATTAAGAACGTCATTGCAGATTAAAGGATCATTGGAAAAATCAGCATCTATCAAAAATACATCAGGTTTTCGACCATAATTATGTTCACTCAACATATTTTCTTCAGATTTGTAAGAAATTTCATCAGAAATGTATGAACCATTAGGAAAAGCCATATTTGGTACAATAACATGAGAAATCTGATAAATCAATTGGTTAGAAACTGTTGTTTCGCAAGAATTCTGAATTTCATTTAACTCTGAACTACTTTGTGACTCTACATTGTTTACTGCAATCATTGATAGAGATAAATCATCATTATAAATACTCGACTCAGTAGAATCAGAATCACAAGTCTTAATACTAGTCGCAATAAGATGAACATTAGTATTACAGACTGACTGAATATGTCCAATATCACCACATTTAAAGCACTTAGAATTACGAAATTTACATGAATTCAAAGAGTGGAACTTGCCACAGGAAAAAAACTGACTAAAATTGTGCCCATCTTCGTGAAATGCATTGCAACTCCTCAATGAATTGTCTGCATAATCTCGAGTATGAACTGGATTGGGATGATGTAATGTAGTAGAATTTTTTATATCCTTATGAATCATTTAACGAAATCTTCCTCCTTTACGACATTCGAAATTTGTATACTGAACATAGTCTAGCTGCAGTTCCCTGAGAGCTGTATAAGGAAGCGAAATGGGCTTTTCCGGCATAGCTAGAGTTTTTAATAAGCCGTATGCTTCTTTTCCAATGAATGTGAGGACGTGTGCCACAATATCACCATTCTCATCATCTTCCTTGGTCATAGCCCAGATTTCGAACCTTTCAAAGTAATCTTCAAAAGCTTCCGAAGTTGAATTAATATCTAACTTTTCCACCAGTATAATGTTTTGAATTATTTGAATTATAGCACGAACTAAGAGTCCCAGAAATAACGCAATTGAATTAAGAAGTGAGACACAAGCACAAACGAATGTATTGTATTTGGAATTCGAAATCGTGCATTTGACAAGTACATAGGTATCATCAGTCCATTCAAACACTACATATATTCTTAGTAAACTTGCTCATTGTTACATCTTGAATAACTTATTTTACCGAGGTCCACTGCGGATCGTACTTCAGCCTACAAGAAAAGAGGAATCGCATCAAGTTGTTTCAGCTTATCTTTATACCATAGGTCAGAAAAATTATTTACTATTTCAACCCTTACTCGTTGAAACCTTAATAGCTCCTCCACCGCATCCGAAACGGCGGTTCGTTGACACTCTACTACTGAAGATACACAGGATAAAACATCATCGAATAAGTAGTTTTATATGTATTTACATAATGATATCTCGATGATAAGCAAGGTAAAGAATACAATTTTTGGTTGATGTCACTAACCTTTTTTTACCATAGACATAGGAATGTCAGAGTTCAAAGGAAGAGACACATAAGCTGATAGTGATAGTGAACCTTTATTCAGTAGAGTCAGTAAATCTGAGATTAACACTGAAACCACATTTTAAGAAAGCCATATGTTTCAAGGTGCAAATATCTAAATGTAGTCGACACATTGGTTTTACTTAGTTTGTTCGATTTATTGTTGAAATTGAATGGTATGACTACTTAACCCACTCCATCTTACGTTGAACTCAGATAATATAACACTTCCCTAGCCTGAACCACCCTGACCTGATTTCTAGTTATTTGCACTTTGCAAATGAATTTGGGAAACGGATGAATTTGTAGTGACCTACATTCGTCAAGAGAACGCAACTGGTTTAATGGAAACAATTATTATTATAACCAATTGTACCAATGATTGTTTCACTGTACTTGTTTGTTTAACTGGACATTCTTCTTTCCGTTGATTGTGATCTTGCACGCACTTACGTTTGCTCAGTGATTCCGCTTGTACTCTTTAGGCACGATCTCGGTATTCTTTCGTTACCACGAGGTCGCCAACAGATACATCTCGCTACAACCTCTAATCGTCTGATATCTGGTACGCAACCTTCTTGTAATGGTGATCATAGTCAACCGCGACTCGACGCCACACTACAAATTTATATTGAAAAGAAAGGTAATGAGCAAAATGTGATCGTAATTAATTTTCACAATATTAAAAACTGTATTGCTGATAGAATTGCACTATATTTTTAAGGCTTCAACTAGTTCAGTGATATTAAATTACATTCGAAGGGGTGTAGCACTCATTCTAAACTGGGTCTGCTATGAATCATTCATCAAAACGGCCTTATGAGGATCGTGGTGTTGAAGTAATTGTGCAATAACTCTTTTCTAACTTCAAATTCATAAAAGATAAGCCTTATCTGGATTAGACCTAGTATCACAGTAGCGTATAAAGATAAGTTCATTGATACTGGTCTAGGCCCGAATCTTACATATTGACTGAACTTTCATCTTCAGAGGTTAGGGAAAGTTTGACAAAATCCTATCATAAATTATTGGCACTTAAAAAATATTTTCCCTCCTCATGGACATTCAACAAAAAGAGTTTATAGCAGCTCATATTTGATTGGCTAAAATTTCCCCACAAATATCCTAGTAATGTCAAAACATTATTGATCAAGTATTCAATCACTTCCTTAGTTTGCAAAGAAATTGCACTTCTTATTATTTTGGATGCTGAAAAGTTATGTGTGTTTGACGAGAGTGACCTCGGCTCCTTTTGTTCAGGTTCAAGATTTAATTAAAGATCTGTTCACTACTGGTCTGGTTTCTTCTATCGATAGAACAAGGGTACACACCTGCATGAAAAGTTATTCTCTAACTCCGAAAAATTAACAGAAATGATACATCTAAATAATGATCTCGTCTGTTATTTAAGCAATTGTCGATTGGTTCACTCGTAACTTACGACCCCGAATAACAATAAAATCAAATTCCGATTCGAGGTACCAAAGACAACCCATAAACCACAAGCAGTAAACACTAATAGATCATTCTAAAAATGATTATAACAATTAAAAACAAGCTTTTAATTTTCAGGTTTTCGGAGTAAAAACTTCAAAAATACCAAACCATAAACAGAATGAAATCAAAGTGACTGAGGTTAAAATTATGGGCAAACAAGTTCGAAAGTTGAGTAGAAACACATGCATCCAAAACAGTGAAACTACTAATATTCAAAACAACAGTTTTCTCAGTCAAAGTCCGTCATCTTTTTCCCGTTACAATAAATGACTGTCATTTAATGACGCAGGCTCAGAGGGCATCGTCTAGCATTTGTTCTGCAGTTTCTAGTATTCAGACCTCAAGTGCTCTGTGTTCTACAGTCTCTCCCTAAGTCTTGTAAATGTTTAGATTCACAGAGTGAAGTCAAGTTGTTCGCTAGGTCACCACTGTTATAAGGCTATAAAAACCAATTAATTTCTTTGCACTCGCTTATTGTTTCGGTACCATTCCAGGTATCTGGCAAAATATAATGGGTGGCACTCCAGCCACTCAAATACACTAGTTCTAGTCACCTTGATATTTGTTTGTAGACTTGTATATCTTGTGGTTTAAGTGATAACACTTGTCTCATGGCAGCATGGTTTATGAATGCCA